CCCCATCTATGGGATTGTTTAAATCTCCTATGTTGACCCAGTGGCGAGTCTTCGTCTACATAAATAGCCCATATTAGTGAAATCATACTCTTTTGATAGGTGGTTACTAGCAGTTAACAACCATTTATTTACTTTAAAAATTAACAATAAACTTTATAAACTAATCGTCCATTCGCTCCTTCTCTCCAGTACATGCCTGGGTGAGTTGGTTATTTTCAGCCTTTATTCTTGAGGAGACTCAGGCCTGGTGGGGGAGGGAAAGAAAGGGGAGGAGATAGGGGAGAGCGGAGAGAGAGAGACAGAGGGAGGGAGAGAGAGGGAGGGGGGAGGAGAGAGAGAGACAGAGAGAGAGAGAGAGAAACAGAAACAGAGAGAGGCGCTAGGGGAGGGTACAAATGAAGAGTAGTTAGGGTAGAGAGAGTCTCCGAAGAATAGAGATCATGGGGTCCAGGAACTAGAAAAAAAATAAAACAAACTGTTGTTTCCGTGCGTCCCCCCCCCCCCTCTGTGTGGGATTATGTGAGAGCCTCGCTCTTCCCAGTTCCCTTCTCCCCCTACCTCGACGCCTTCTCCCTTAAGGCTATTTTAGCTTTTCCTCTTGTAAATTTCAGAGCTAGCTCGGAGGTTATTGAGGACACTTATCCGAAAGAGGGAAATAATAGAGGTGCTGAGAGTGTTTTTGATGTTTCTTAAAAGGCAAAAACAAAACGCCCTGCTCTAAACAAGGGCACACAATTGTACCTACTTTTTATTTACTTATTTATTTTTTTGGTGGTGGGGGGGGGGGGACTCCTGGCTGAATGAAACTACTTTTTAGTGTATTTAAATATTTTTTTCACAAAAATTAAAAATATTTCACCCTATCATATTTAATCAGCTGTAATTATAACACATTCAAAATGAATAATATGCCTTGACAGTATTTTTATTGTTATTGTTCATTGCATGATGTTCGACTGCTTTAGAAGCACAGGAAAGAGAAGTAAACGCGCTACAAATGGGGAATTACCCTCGTTTAGCATTAAAATTCATTTAGATAAAATTGCCACAAACATTTAAATGGGAAGATTAGTTCCCCCTCACGCCTTATTGCACTCGCTCAATGGTTCCGTTAAGAACATTTTACACGTTGGAAATTCCGTCTTCTCAGACGGCTTGCTGTTTCCTAGTTACCCACATTCAAAGCAAAGGCAGCAGCAAAGGCAGCCGCAGCAGGGGAAAAAAAAAAAAAAGTTTTGGCAACTGGTCTGCAATTCATCCGCTGCTCGCCCCAGTCTCCCCTCCGCCCACTGCAGTCTGCCCCCACCCATTACCCTTTCCCTACCCCTACCCTGCCCCTCATTATGTAATTTGCAGAGCCCTGTCCTCGAGGAAACAAGTTGTTTAGCCGTAGAGCGTGTTTAAATAACGTTAAAATACAAAGAAACACCCCAAAGCCAGCCAGTTTCTCGCCGGGGCTCCTCTCCCTCTTCTGTTCTGAATTGAGGGTTTCGTTTGAATGTGCTGAGTTTCTCACATCCCCTACCCTGAGGCAACGAGGCACGTTTTTTGGCTTTCTTTTCTGCCAGGGCATTTCCAGGAAATTCACCACTACTTTTTGCTTGCCTTAGAAACGTGTGAAAGAATTAGTTTGAAAATTCCACGCAGCGTCTAGCTTTTCCCTCCCCTTTTCTTGCCTCTCTCTCTCTCTCTCTCCCCCCCCCCACCTCCTCCCGCCCTCCCCCACCCTTCTTCTCTCTCCCTCCTCCCTTCGCAGCACCACAGGAAAAGAGGAAAGTCGGCTTCGACTGCCATCTTTCGGGGATTTGGAAAAACGACTCGGTAGGAAACGGAGGGAGGTGGAGGCGGAGGCGCTGGGGGTGGGGGGGGAACCCCCTTATTATCCTGTGTCGGAACTGGCTCCCTTCATCTGATGCTTAAATATTTGATGTGGAAAAATTACCCATAAAATTAGTTACTAACAATTTCAAATTGAAATCACTTATCGAATTATAAACGCATTAAAGCTGTATGGATGGTATCAGGAGATCCTCGGGAGGCAGAGGGTGTCTGTCTCTTTGCAGTGAGCCGGGCCGCCGAGCTTCGCCCCGGGGAGCGGCGCCCCCCGCGGGG